TGTCAGAACTAGGGATCCCCTCGCTTATATGAAACTCACCGCTTACAGTCATTACTCAGTTATCTACATACACAGGCCAGGATTGCCTTACAAGGGATATACGCCAATCGTTTATATAGATCTACTGCAGAACCAGCAGATTACACTAAGCAATACAACCAACTTTTATCCCACATTCATTATGCTGCTATTGGCCATACTGATGATCTGTCAAGAGGCCTATGAGCTGAACGGGGACAAGCATGCCTGAACTCGGAGCATGTCATCCGGCTCTCCACTTTGTCTGACACTGCCGCATGCGGTAACTTTGTAGTACACGGGCTCGCCATTCATGCTTAAAAGACTTTCTCATGAGACAAGCGCGGGATTGCTAGACTTTGAAAGTGGTCCGTGAGGACGAATGAGCAAGTTTGGATGAAAGAGGTGTTTTCATAAATGTGAAACTACAGCTGATAAGAATAGAAGGACTAGTCAAGCAACATGATCATATCGCATAGAATATTGAAAATTAGAAGCCGAGAGTCTGGCCTGCCTCCGCGGTGACAGCGGCCTTGACGTTGCCAGATCCCAGAAGTGAGTACGAGTAAGGGAAGCTGCTGGCGGTAAGCGTGCCGACAGGCGCCGTGTTTGCGCTTTCACCAGTGAGGGTCACATCGATGGCGACCACATAGCTGCATCGCCGATTGTTAGTCACGCGATCGAGATTTCGATGCAAATAGATGAAATAGCACGGTAAATATGTCGGAAAAGATGCAAGCAAAAGAAAGGGGCAACGTACCCAACCTCCTTGCTGGACTCCGAAAAAATGGCCTTCTTGCCAACGTTCTCGAAAAGAGAGCTCTGAATGAGGGCCTGAGCACCCATGCGGGAGTTAAGACCTAACCCTGGTTAGCCAAGCTGTCTCTTCCGAACTTGTCCGGGATCGCCATGGGCAGGCCGTGCAGTTGATTGATTTGTCCTTTCCTGGGGGGACTCAGGACTCACCAGTATCCATGTCATTGTAGTATTGATTGTAGACATGGGCAGTTCCAAAGCGCAAGAGAGGTCCACGGCTGCGGACGTTATACCAGTGGTTGTTCGCGTACGTTACATGCAGAGTTCCAGTGTCCTCGGCAGCGTTGTTGTCAGAGTGACCAACAAGAGAGCCCTTAGAGTGGTCGTGGAAATAGGTGTGCGAGACCGTGACCCAGTCAGCAGCGTGGGACAGATCAGTGAGTCCATCGTAGAAATCCTTGTCCACGTCTCCTCGGGAAGCCGACAGATCGCAGTGGTCGACCCACACGTTCTTGGATAGTTGAATAGTGATCGCGTCTCCATAGTCGGCCTCGACCTTGCTGATCTTCATGTTCCGGACAATGACGTTCTTCTGTCCGAGGATCGTGAGGCCGATGCCTTCCAGCGCTATAAGACATGCGGTCAGCGTCTATAGATGATGCATTATGACGATGGTATCAATCTTACAGCTGCCACTCTTCCCAACAATGGTCTTGTCAGAGCCGACTTGAACCTTGGCCGCGCCTACAATCTTGCCCTGGACAATGACAATGCCAGGACCTGACGCAATTGCTGCGGCTGAAAGCTGAGCGAGAGTCGTCACAGTCGTTGTAGTGCCACCAGCACCGCCCTTGGTTCTAATGGGATAGTTAGAAGAAACTCCAACAATAATGTCGTCGCCACATACCCGCCATTCTGGGTGCAGTAGCCAATGTTGCAGGCATCGGTGATGGCTGCTCTCTTGTTTAGTGAGTGGCCCTGCTCAACAGTGGGAGTTGGCGAGGCAGAAGCAGCCACGGCCAACAGAGCCCAGGATGCGAAGTTCGAGATCTTCATGGCAAGAATCCTGTAATCAAAATAGAATATGGACAAAAACAAAAGGACAACACGTTGAATGCGAATGGCGACACGAAGAGCAACGTCCTTTCTTCTTACTGTGCTTAGCGATCTATTATATGCCGCTGACTACCGACCTACATAACATCATGATCTCAACCTGTTTCCCCGCTGCAACTTCTGAGAGCTGATAGCCAAGACCAAGAAACAATCAGAATGCAGGGGAACACGACTTCATTCCTTGGCATTGTGCGTGTGCTCCGCCAGTCTCCTTGGTCTATTACAGGTGATGGTCAGTCTACGACGGCCTCTTAGGTGGAATCCCGGGGGCCTTCAAAATTCCCCAAATGAGGCGACGTTATTCCCACCATCGCGTGAGCTCCGGGCGGCAGTCATTCAGATCTCGGTTGAAACGGAGGCTTGCCCAAAAAAGCAGCCGGCGCAACGTCAGCCAGACTACTATTGGAGCAGCAATTAATTCAGTCGTCTTGTAGACGGGGCCGTCGATCCTCATTCATTCACCAGGGAGGCGCCATGCGGAGAAACATTTCGTTGGAGGAAAATTGCATGATTTCATTAATTACCCCCGTTCTGGGACAACGTGGAGGAGGCCGCGGGAGAAACGTGGCCCATCTCCGGGGTTACATCGTCCCCGCTTCGCTCCGAGTCCGCCGGCAGCGGAACGGCGTCGATCTTCCAGCGGGGCATGACAATTGTTCTTTCAACTTTCGGATCACCGCTCCACCCGAACGGCTCACATATTACCAGAAGTTTGTAGTATTGAAAATAATTGGAATATGGTTGCTACTACCTCTGATGAACGAGTGTCTCTTTTGGGAAAACCTTTCGTCAAATTCCGAGAGATTGTTCCTTTCGGAACCAGCCTAATTCAAGTTGGAGGTTGACTTACTTACGTTGAGACATCAGCAAAACTGCGTTATACTGCACGTCTATTGGCCACTACAATAAGTTTACTTCCGCGTTCCTGCATCTCGATGGACTGCATCGGAGGAAGTGCAGCCATCAACTTACAGGCTCGGGTCAGTGACCGGCCGGCAAATGCGATGGTGTCCATCTCGCACGAAAGCGGAATACGCCCATTACGGCCGAGTTTCGGACGTGGAGGCCACGTCCACGTCTGGATAAAAAGCAACGAAGAAGCTTAAATGACCCGTCTTCGCATGGTCCCAGCATGGGGATTCGTGTGTTTCCCATGTGAATTGCAAGGTGGGTTGCGTTGACACATACGGGAGACACTGGATCCGCGCGCCAGCTTCACTCTAAATACTGCCCAAGCCATTTGGATGGCCGAATTTCAGACCACAGGGGAAGCTTTAGTCGCAGGTATGGTGGTTGGTACCCCTATTCAAAGCTCAAAAGCAATGCCCCGATTGGCTCGCAGTGGTTGCGTAGTTATGTTTCTGTGCGTAGGACTTGGGGCTGGCGAGGCCACAGACCTGGACGTGAAAAGCTTCCTACGGCAGCATGCGGAGCGAGCCGCAGTTGGGCTGGACCGATCTTTTGACTGCATACGAGTCTCACAATGCACGCAGTCTTCCCGGCGGGAGAGTCTCGCCTAAAGATTCTCTGTACTATTTGAATTCATCTCATTGCCGCGACGCTCTCTGGTGCATGTGGTAGGACCTCTGCCTATCATCTTGCTTTGCGACATCGTCGCATAGTCGAGGGTTTGGATCGCTTCATTGGAGAATCTGCAATCTTCGAGTGATCTGCTTGGCGGTTCCAGCGCCTACTTCACCGCTACTGGTCGGTTTTCTGACATCTCGCCACTCATTCCGTCTTGAGGAGACCCAACTTCGTATCAAACGCGACATCCTCGTTTCAGTGCCTGGTTTCGTCCGCTGGTTGGACTTTTCGTCGCTACTAAGGACGACAGCTCAATCTTCTGATCTTGTGGTGTTTGGGAGAATGGAAAGCCAAGATTAGCCAAGTTTCTCTTGAGTTTAGAATGTCGCGACACCGTGGAGGCAGAGACCCCCACATGTCAGCCAGCTGCTAAATGGCTTCTGATTTTGCAATAATTGTTTGAAAGATAACCGACTCGGGACAGTCTACCTCCAAACTCAAAGACGCGCAAGAGAAGGCTGAAGCATGAGCCACAAGTCTGAGCTCATGTTTCGACATTTTACGGCTCCTTCGTTCGAATGAACTGAGCACATCACTCGCTTGATGCCGAAGTTGGGCAAACGTTTCACGTCTTTCTTTTGAGATCTGCACTGGCCTTCGAGTGAACAGCCAATGACAATACTTGCGCTGAGAATCCGCTGAATGGACCTGGGGGAAGAGTTGCGTGGAATCCAAGGGGAAAATCCGCTATTAACCCACCGGACGTCCTCCGAAAGCACAATACGTCTTCCTTGAATGTGGATCACCGGCGAACCGATGCACCTACGCAAGTTCGATCGCCAGAACCACGAACTCTTCACTGCTCCATAATATCGTTCTAGAATAACGTGCGTATATGGCATCTAGCGGTCTAGAGTTTCTCTAAATTAGTGCTATTTGTCGCTTTGGAGCCCCTCTATATGGATCAGGAGTTATTTCGTGGCATGCGAGGTGGTGAAGCACGTGGCCTGGGGACCCTAGACTGGGAAACAGCTTCGAAACCAGGGTGTGCCGTGTTCAACTTTAAAGTGGTTTTTTGAACCCGCCTTTTCTAAGCTGACTTTACCAGCCATTTTAGCTTTCTTCCTATGCGGTTCTGAAAGGAAAGTGAGGCTACCCCAGCCATTTCGACTCGTGGGAGCGTAGATCATCCCCACCCTCACACCTCTCACATCTTGATGGCTGGTAACGGTTTTAACACCAGAGCCTTTTACTGCTCTGTCAACCTCATGGCTGTTGACACCAACCACACCATCTCGAGTCAACCCGGCCACGGGTTGAACTGCCAACTCAGGACGACTTCTGGGTCGCCTAGAGGTACTGGCAACCTACGATGTCGATTACCAGCCTTCTTGCAAGAACCTTCCTGCCACCACCTTCCCGCCCTACCAGAAACAGGGCTGAAGGTTGTGTTGAAGGTGGATATTATGGTGTTAACCAACAAAGGCAGGTTTGACTTAGTGTCACAAGGACAACTGTCTTGCAGGACAAGTGAGGGGATTCCCGCCTTGCAATCAAATTCATAACAGCACCGGAGGTTGGTCCGAGAAATCTTTCACCGCTCAATGGTCGTCGTTGCGATGGACCCTATTTGTCTGCTTCAGTCAAAACGGAGAAAGGGGGTTGGCGCCCGCTTCCCTCTTGGCGCCATCTCGCACGTCCAGCCTCCTGAGAGCAGCAATATCAGCGATAATAAGACGGCTGGTCATGGACAGATGACAGCGTGGGGAGGAGGGAGATGGAGGGGGCGGAGACCACAGAAGTCAGTGGGAGTGGGTATAAAGGGCGTCGGATATCCGACGCGCGAGAATTTCGTAATACTATACGTACTCGAATTCGCAGTTCTGCTACACCGGATATGGGATTGTTCGGCTTAGGCGCTCCCACCTTCGAACGCATGAAGCCAGGGAGCCCGAGCTTTTCTCGGTTGCGGTGAGAGATTCGAGCGCATGGAATGCTAGTCAAGCTGGAGACTTGATGGATACTCCCACAACAACGACATGTAGGCCACCAAAGTGCCTCACCGCGGAGCAAACGATCATGAGGCTGCAACCAGATGCAGGTGACACGACAGAAAGAAGAAAAGAATTTTCAATGCAACACCAACGAAGCATATGGAGCATCATCGAGATCTAGGCCCCGTAGGAGTGCTGCAGTATTTTGGAAAAGAAAACTTGAATCCTCATTCAGCTAACAAGCCCACCCTCTTCAGCCCGTGAATCCCAGCATGTGAAGCGCTCTGCCCCCAACTTTAGTCATCCCATCACCGTTAAGCGCAAGGGAAGAATGAACGGCCGCGACGACTTGATGACCGTTTTGAGACACGCTCCAGCGAAAGAGATAACGACTGCAAGCCAAGACCCATCCCAGGTTTGACTCCGTCCAGTCTGCTTCTCATCCGAGCCACACCTGCGTCCACCATCTCAACTCTGCCTATGTTCTCGATACAACGGAGGCATCCTTCAAATGATTAGACCCAGCCGTAATGTCGCGCAATATTTCTCTCGGACCTTTCCTTTAGGTTGGTCGATCATCTGCAACAAGGGCTCAAAGGGCCCCCAAAAAGCCAAAAATGGTTGTGGAGCAATTTGCGACGTTTCCGACTCCAGGAGATGAGCATCCTTTCCTTCAGCGTATTCCAGCCTCAGTTCTCATGATTCAGGTCCGTCAGCGACGGGCGACGCCCTGCCTTCAGCTGCTCCTCCTCGACCGTCTCAATCGTTCGGCAACGCCTGGCTTCGGAAAAACTGGATACTGACCCTCACTAATATCAGGATTCGTTAATGGGTGTTCTGGGCGATGTTAAGTGCTAGCGTCTCCCGATCACCTAGGATCCCAAGCGTGACAGCAGCATCGTGAAGCTGTCAAGCTGGGATACTGCAGTCGACGTGTCAAAGGCTGGTACATTAGCGGCTTGGACTCCTGAGATGGAGCGGCGATGATCCCAGCAAGACGCCCGGATAACGTTCGCTTTATAACACCGAACCCCCAACCACACAGACGCCGCAATGCCTCATTTGCCTCAAAATTGGGTCTCGTTTCACCCTGTCCCCTACGCCGCCGACACACTTGAGTTGATGTGATCCAAGTGATCCCATCGCGAGCAATCCGATTTTGACGTCACCCTCCCAGGATCTCGGCTCAAGTTACCCCCCGTCTCCCTCGCTGGCGCCGGGGCAGCCAGACAAGCCTTACCCGGCTACCACGTCCGCCTGCATAAGATCAGCCCTGGGATGACCCATGGGGCGAGCGCTCCGCCCTGCTCGGCCTGCCGACCACTCACGGCCTCCCACTCGACAGCCCTCACGGATCCGACGCCGCGAATATCGCAGGCGGCTCAGCGTTCCCCTGTCCAGCTCCTCGTCCCGCCGTAT